ACACCTGTACAGTTTCTCAATGTGGCATGAGATCAGATATTTTAGGCTCCCTGGGATAAGATACGTCACTATCTTATATCACCTCTCCTACTAAAAGATATTCTTGTCTTAGGCCCTAAATTCGGAACATAATATCAAGTAATATTAACTGTAACAAGGCCTGCATAAAATGTAGGTAGTACGCCAAGGTGGTAGATAAATAGACAAAATAATATGTGCTTACTTTTTCTCAGCTGATGTACTAGAAGATGTAATTATGGGATTTTTGGTGGTATAAATCTCGATTTTTTTTCAGAGTGGGACTTTATATGGCTACCATTATAATAATAATAACAATAATAAATAATAATAATAATAATAATAATAATAATAATAATAATAATAATAATAATAATAATAATGATGATGATGATGATGATATAATACTATCCTAGAGTTAGCTACGGTGGGAATTAGAGGATTGAAATAAACCAGTGTTTGAGGTAGAAAATAAAAGTGAAAGGTAAGGGAGGCCCTAAAATAGAGCATATGAAAGGTAGAGATAATGCCCCCCCCCCCCCCCAAAAAAAAAAAAAAAATACATAGACAAAGTAATTATATAAGAAAAAAAGTGAAATATAGGAATAAATAAATAAAAAAGACTAAAACAAAAAAAAACATACAATCTAAACAAAAAACAAATACATACCATCACAAAAACACACAGACAAATAAACAAATAAATAGTACTCCTACCCGCCCCCCTCAAAGAAAGAAAGAAAGAAAGAAAGAAAGGAAGGAAGGAAGAAAGACGAAAAACCTCCGAATAAATATCGATCACGCCCCCCCCCCCAAAAAAAAAAGAAAGAAGAAAGAGAAGAAAAAAAAAGAGGTATGCCTTACCGCCCCCCCCCTAAAAAAAGGAAATAGAGAAAGAAAGAAAAAATAAACAGGTATGCTTTACTGCTAACGAAAGAAAAGAAAAAAAGAATGAAAAAACAAAAAACAAAACAGGTATGCCTTACCGCCCCCTCCCCCAAAAAAAATAGAGAAAGAAAGAAAGAAAGGTATGCCTGAAAAATAGACAGAAAGAAAGAAAGAAAAGAAAAGAAAAGAAAAAAACAGGTATACCTTACCCACACAATAAAAAAAAACAAAAGAAAGGAAAAAACAAAAAGCCAAAAAAAAAACAAAAGAAAGAAAGAAAAAAGAAAAAGAAAAAAAGAAAGAAAGAAAGAACAAAAACACAGACATGCCATACCCACGAACACCTCTGCATGGACATCGAGCATGCTGGCTCTGTCCTCCGAAGACGCTGCAGTGGTGGTGTGGCCTCGGAAGGACAGGGCCCCGTCACCACCCCGTCGCGTCGCCGTCACCCTCTGCCACTCCCCCGTCACGGCAGCGTCACGTGATCGGATGAGGGTCAGGCCAGGAGCGCGCCAGCCTGGGTCACGGGTCAAAGTTAGTGGGTTTTTTGTTGCTGGTGTTGTTGTTGGTGTTATCATGAGAATTGTTGTTATTATTGGCGTTGTTGTTATCGTCGTTATTATCGTTGATATCGTTCGTTTTAATTTTTTTATTTTCCCTCTTCCTTTTCCTTCCCCTCCCCCCTCCCCTTCCCCTTCCTGTCCCTCTCCCTCCCTTCCCTTTCCGTCCTCTCCCTTTCCTTCCCTTCCTCCCCCTCCCCTTTCCTTCCCTCCCTCCCTTCCCTTCCTCTTTTAATCCTTCTCCCCTCTCTTTCCTTCCCCTTCCTTCCCTTCCCCCCCTCCCTTCCTTCCCTCCCTCCCCCCTAACTTTCCTTTCCCTCCCTCCCTCCCTTCCCCTTCCCGTCCCTTCTCTTCCTCCTCCCTCCATTCCATCCTTCCCACCCTCCCCTTCCCCTTTCCTTCCCTCCCTCCCTTCCCTCCTCCCCTCCTTCCTCCCTTCCTTCTCCTCATCATCCCCCTCCTTCACCCCCACCACCACGACCTTCCCACGTCAAAAAACTAAAAACCAACACAAACGCCTCACCCAGATGATAGGTAAACTGGAGTGTCCCGTTGACGAGCGCGAGAGCCAGGAAATCGCCCGGAGAAGCTCTGGGCAACGCGAGGAACAAGACCCCATCGGGACTCTCCGGCTTGAAGGCCAAGGCGATGCGCGTCTCCTTCCTGATGTTGGGCGCGAGGAGGCTCAGGTAGGAACCCACGCCGGAGAAGTGGGGGTCCGTGATGTTGACCGCTGGAGGAGAGAGAAAAAAATCAATGAAAGTGGGAGAGCGAGTTCGTAAAACAAGTGTTCTTGCAGGGAGAAGCTGATGAAATTTAAGACTTTTTTTATGACCTTTTTAAGACATACCATTTTTAAAGACCTTTTTAAGACTCATATAATTTTCTTTCTTATTTATATAGGCCTGGAGTATCTTGTCGCTTGAATACACACTTCCCATATGGTTTATAGGCCTACTTGTCACCCCATGATTTTAACACAGCCTCTCTGATAGACAGTACACAAGAATTATCATTATTTATTTATTTATTCATTTTTTGCACACGGCCTACAAGTAAACGTTATATATGTACATTTACGTGAACAGAGAAGTGCCTTGGGCAAATTTAAGACATTTTAAGACCAGCGACAGAAAAACCTCCGTTTTTAAAGCCTTAGCTTTCAAAACAACCATTTAAGACATTTTAAGACTTTTTAAAATGCACGGGAACCCTATATAAGGGTATTTCCAGTGCTTTTTTTTTTTTTTTTTTTTTTTTTTTTTTTTTTTTTTTTTTTTTTTTTTTGGCTGACCATCATCGAGTGATCCATATTTTGAGTTGGAATGTGCCTCAATATTTTTTTTGTCTATAACAATACATACAAATGATTTCCAGGACCTACAGGCATAACTCCACCCTCACCAAAAGAAGGACTCAATTCAAACATTATCACAACCGAACCTAATCCTAACCTAATCCTCCACTAGACAATAACAAACAGCACACTTTCCCTCTGATATTCACACCCTTTTGAACCCCCACTAAAACACAACAGAACAACCCCCCTAAACCCTTTTATCTACACATATTTTCGACTATCCAACCCCTTTCATTCTCGCTTCACAATACACCTTCCCCTCTTTCTATCCTCACTTTCATATCTTCACTTCCCCTCCTTTCCTTCCCTTATCTTCACTTCCTCCCTTTCCTTCCCTTCCAGTCCCTTTCAATCTCGCTTCACAATACACCTTCCCCTCTTCCTATCCTCAATTTCATATCCTTCATTCTCGCTTCAAAATCCACTTTCTCCTTTTTTCATATCCTCAGTTTCATATCTTCACTTATTTAAGCACACCATTTCCTTCCCCTCCAACCCCTTTCATTCTCGCTTCACAGTACACCTTCCCCTTCTTCCTATCCTCACTTTCATATATTCACTTCCTCCCCCCCTTCCCTCTCCTCCCTTTCCTTCCCTCCTCTCTTCCTTCCCTCCCTCTCTCCCTCTCTTTCCTTCCCTCCCTCCCTCCCTCCCTTCCCTCCAACCCCTCTCATTCTCGCATCACAACACCCCTTCCCTTTCTCCTATCCTCACTTTCATATCTTCACTTCCCCTCCCCCCTTCCCTTTCCTTCCCTCCCTCTCTCCCTTCCTCCTCTCTCCCTTTTCCTTCCTTTCTCCCCTCCCCTCCCTTTCCTTCCTTCCCTCCCTCCCTTCCCCTCCCTTTCCTTCCCTCCCTCCCTCCCTTTCCTTCCCCTCCAACCCCTCTCATTCTCGCTTCGCAACACCCCTTCCCCCTCTCTTCCTACCCTCACCGCTTCGCCCTCACCTTTCTCACAGCGAGGACCACTTCGTCCGATCTGACAGAGGCAAGTGGACGAGGAGCCAGGTGACGCGGCGGGCAGGCAGGAGGCTCCGGGGGAACAGGACAGCTGGTTCCCCTCGCACACGTGGCTCGGGACTTCACAGCGGGGGCCTTTCCACCCGACGTGCAGTGACACCTGGTGGGGGAGGTGGGGTGGGGGTGGGGGGGGGTACGTGCGTTGAGGTTGTTAGAAATCGATTAATTAGTTAACAAATTAATATATCATTTAATGCGGTAATTGATATTATTTAACACACTTATTAAGACTTCATTAACACGCTAACTCCTTAGACACCAATTAATGCATCATTTAACACGCTAATTAACATATCATTAACACACTAACACATTAAACACCAATTAATGCATCATTTAACATCAATTAGCACATGATTTAACACGCCAGGTAGCACCTCATTTAACACGACTTTTAGCACCAATTAACACACGAATTAACACGTGCTTTAACACTCACTTTAACACAGCTCACACCTCATTCAACACACCATTCTAACATGCCTTTTAGCAACTCCGTTTAAGAACAGATCTACGTTCGCCCTCGAGCACGTTCAGCACGTTCGAGCACGTTCGCCCTCGAGCACGTTCGCCCTCGAGCACGTTCGCCCTCGAGCACTTCGCCCTCGCGTTCGCCCTCGAGCACGTTCGCCCTCGAGCACGTTCGCCCTCGAGCACGTTCGCCCTCGAGCACGCCTCGAACACCGTCGAACGTACCGAGCACGTTCTCGAGCACAACCCTCGAACACACCTGTACGTAGCGCCGACCTCGATGCACGTCCCGCCATTCTTGCAGGAGTCCCTCGAGCAGACCGCCTCCCCGCACTCCCTCACGTTCGCCGCCCCCGCCACCCTCAGGGCAGTCCAAGGGCCGGAGGGCTTCCGCGCCACCCGCAGGTCGAACACGCAGCCTCGGAATCCCTCGTGGCGCCACATGTCCGCCGGCAGGTGAGTCATGTTCCAGGAGGAGTGTCCACCTGAAGGAGGGGAGGATGCGGGGTGGAAGGAACAGCTGGAGGGGAGGTGTGTAGGGTGGGGGTGGGGCGTGTGTGTGGTGTGTGGGGGGGGGGGTGTGGGGTGTGTGTGTGTTGTGGGGGGGGACGTGTGTGTGTGTGTTTGTGTGTGTGTGTGTGTGTGTGTGTGTGTGTGTGTGTGTGTGTGTGTGTGTGTGTGTGTGCGTGCGAGTGTGTGAGTGTAAGTGTGAGTGTGCGTGCGAGTGTGTGAGTGTAAGTGTGTGTGAGTGTGAGTGTGCGTGTGTGAGTGTGTGTGTGTGTGTGTGTGTGTGTGTGTGTGTGTGAGTGTGTGTGTCTGTGTGTATGTGTTTCCGCGTGTGTTATCCTATTGCATGCGTTCACATCTACATCCCTATCCGTGCTTCTATTAGAAAAATTATTTCTCTGTATATATCCACTTTTACGAAGAAGCCCACCCCCCCCCCCCCCCAAAAAAAAGCAATAATAATATCAAAAAATAAATAAATAAAAACGAAAAAGGAAGGCAAACCAATACCGATATAAAGCAGATTATTCGTGTTGAGGGAAGACAAGTATCCCGGTGACGTCGCTGTCACGTTCTTCTGCGTGTCCACCTGCAGCCACGCCCGCTTCCCCTCCCGCACCAGCAGCGCCGTGTGGGTGTGCAGTCTGCCGTCCAAAGCCTCTGACGTCATCAATCGCCTGGGGCCTGTAGGGGGGGGGGGGAGACAGAGAGTTTTTCTTCTGTAAAGTCAAAATTCGAGTTTTTCTTCTGCAAAGTCAAAATTCGAGTTTTTCTTCAGCAAAGTCAAAATTCGAGTTTTTCTTCTGCAAAGTCGATGTAAAAATTCGAGTTTTTCTTCAGCAAAGTCAAAATTCGAGTTTTTCTTCAGCAAAGTCAAAATTCGAGTTTTCTTCAGCAAAGTCAAAATTCGAGTTTTTCTTCAGCAAAGTCAAAATTCGAGTTTTTCTTCAGCAAAGTCAAAATTCTAGTTTTTCTTCAGCAAAGTCGATGTAAAAATTCGAAAGTTGGTTAGATTTTCAAAACAGATGTAGGCCTAGGGCAATGATTTGAATGGGTAGTTTTCGTTCCGTCAAATAGGTTAATAGTTTCCTTCTATTGTCAAAGTCAATGTCAAAATTCGAAAGTTGCTTAGATATTCCAAACAGATGTAGGGATATAATTTAAATGGGTGATTCCTTCAAATTCCTTCAAATAAGTGAATAGGTTCCTTCTACAAAGTTAATGTCAAATTTCGAAAGTTGGTGACATGTTCAAAGTAGATGTAGGAATTTAGGCTTCAAATGGGCGATTATTGTTGCTTCAAATACGTAAATAGGCTCCTTCTACTGTCAAAATCAATGTCAAAATTCGAAAGTTGGTTAGATATTAAAAAAAGATATATGGATATAATTTAAATGGGTGATTCTTTTAAATTCCTTCAAATAAGTGAATAGGTTCCTTCTACAAAGTCAATGTCAAATTTCGAAAGTTGGTGACATGTTCAAAGTAGATGTAGGAATTTAGGCTTCAAATGGGCGAGTATTGTTGCTTCAAATACGTAAATTGGTTCCTTCTACATTCACAAAGTCAATTTTATCATTCGAAAGTTGCTTAGATATTCCAAACAGATGTAGGGATATAATTTAAATGGATGATTCCTTCAAATTCCTTCCAAAGAGTGAATGGGTTCCTTCTACACTCAAAGTCAATGTCAAAATTCGAAAGTTGCTTAGATATTCAAAACAGATGTAGGATATAATTTAAATGGATAATTATTGTTTCTTCAAATAAGTGAATAGATTCTTCTACACTCAAAGTCAATGTCAAAATTCGAAAATTGGTTTGATATGCAAAACAGATGTAGGGATATGATTTGAAGGACTAAATTTCGTTCCATAAGTGACTTCTGCTGTAAAGGTCAAAGGTCAATAAGCGAAAGTTGGTGACTTGTTCTAAGCAGACATAGTGACATGTCGATTTCAAATAAGTTATTTTTTTTCGAATTTTGACATTGACTTTGTGAGTGTAGAAGGAAACTATTAACCTATTTGACGGAACGAAAACTACCCATTCACTTTTTTGAAGGAATTTGAAGGAATCACCCATTTAAATTATGTCCCTATATCTATTCTAAGCAAATGTAGTGACATGTTGATTTCAAATTAGTATTTTTTTTCCAATGAGTTCTTAATGATTGTGCTTTAAGATTAATTGAATGATTTTAATTAGATTTTCAATTTTCAAGATATTCAATGAGGAAAAAGCGTATAATTTCTTCCGAAAAATCTCAACTCAACTTATATTTTCTTATACATATAGTTCTGAATCATTTTCTTTAATACTTGATTTGTATTTTTACATTGATGTATTTATAGAAATATTCAAGCTCTTCCAAGATGTCTCTTCCACGTAAAAAAAAAGACAGATAAAAGAAAAAAAATGATAAAAAAAATCGTAAACATTTTTTTTTTCACCACTTTATCAACTCCGTATAAGGGAGTTCCTCCATTCACAAACACAAACAAATAAACGCAATAACAACACCCCCCCCAAAAAAAAAAAAAAATATATATAATAATAATAATAATAATACCTGCGCCAAGGTCCCAGGTGAGCATGAGGTGACCCCCCCCAAAAAAAAAATAATAAAATAATAAATAATAATAAAAAAAATAAAATAAAAAATAATAAATAAAAACATACCTCCCAAGTGAGCATGAGGTGACCCCGGACGAGACTGAGTGCCAGGAAGTCGCGGGTGGCACTCCTTACGCTGTTGCCAATGTAGGCGATTAACCCCACCTGCCGCAGCGCCTCCGTCGTGAAGTGTAGTCTGAAGAAGGAGAGAAGGAGAGAGGAACACGAAGGAATTACTGAGAATGAAAGAAATGGAGAAATGGACTGACAAACACAGGAAAAAAAATAAAATGGATGTGGTATGTTACTTGCTGGTCTGTTGTTGTAAATTGATAGTCTTGTGCTTATGGTAATACACTTATAGATATAATGGCTATTGTGATTACTATAATTGTTATTATTATTGTTTGTTGTTGTTGTTGTTATTATTCTATTATCAAAATTATTATTATTATTATCATCATTATTAATTACTATTATTATCATTATTATTATATTATTATCATTATTTTACTTATTATTATCATTATTATTATTATTATTATCATTATCATCATTATCATTATAATTATTATATTATCATTATTTATTAATCATTGGTATTATTACTATTATCATTGTTATTATTACTATTATAATTTTCATTATTATCATTATCATTTTTACTATTATTATAATAATTATTAATAATTGTTATTGTCATTATCATTTTTACTATTATTATAATAATTATTAACATTGCTATTATTATCATCGTCACCATCATTACTTATACTATCATCACCATCATTTGCACATGACTGCCCAGGCGCCTGAGATGCAACTCTTCGTCTCACCTCAAAGCAAGACCGAGTGTGACGTCCTCCTCGACCCTGTAGACCGAGTACGAGCTGTAACCCTCGACTGTACCGGCGTAAGAGGGTCGTTCTACCACTCGTTCTGGAGGAGGAGAGAGGCTGTGAATTACGTCTTAGGTGGTGGGGATGCTGTTAAAGAGGGTGAGAGGGTGAGGACACTAATAGAAAGGGTGGTATTGTGAGGGTGAAGTCATTTTTTATGAGATGGTGTGAGGGTGAGGTCATTTTTATGAGATGGTGTGAGGGTGAGGTCACTCTTTGTGAGGGTGAGAGGGTGAGGTCACGTCTCATTTTTATGAGATGGTGTGAGGGTGAGGTGTGAGGGTGAGGTGCTAGAAAGGGTGATGTGATGGTGAAGTCCTCTTTGTGAGGGTGAGTCCTCTTTTCGAATGGTCACTCGATGGTGAGATCACAAATGGAAATGGTGATACTATGATGGTGAAATCATTTTTATGAGATGGTGAGATGTCACTCTTTTCGAGGGTGAGAGGCGAGAGGGTGAGGTCACTCTTTGAGATTTCGAAGTCCATTTTTTGAGACTATTTTTTTTTTTTCATTTATTTATTATTTTATTATTTTTTCAAATTTGGTGAGGTCACTCTTTGGGATTTTGAAGTCCCTGTTTTCGAGATTTTATCTTTTCATTCATTAATTCTTTTGTCTTTCAAATTTGTTTAGAGTGACTTTCGTTCTATCAAGGCCTCAGATAGTGAAGTCGCTTATCTAGATTCTTAACTTAAAATACCGTGTATTTACTTACCAACATGGTATACTTATCCTTTTAGGTAGCAATGAATAGGATCTGACATACCGAATCCCTTGAATAAATGGTAAATATATCATGCTTATCATATTTTAGAGAAGCAATCCAACAGAAGTTAAAATACTCGAGCTCAGTTTTAGACAAATATTAGTTCATATTCTACCGGCCGGTTTGTTAAAATTGTGCGAGGTCCAACCCAAAGAATATTCGTAAATACAAACATGCATATACCCAGAAATATATGTATCTGTCTATATGTCTGATAAATATACGTTTATCTACCTATTTGCCCGTTTGATATGTATGGGTAGACTGATAAATCTGTATTTAGTTCTCTATTTTTGCAAACCGACCGTATTTCATGGTTCCGTTAGGTACCTTCTTTACAAATATACAATTTCTGTCGCCTGTAGTCTAGCGAGTCGGCCGAAATATCTTTTTTATTAATTAATCAGTTTGTTTATTCTTGCTCTTTTTTTTTGAAAGGACGTTGTGTAATGTTTTCCGTTTGTGGAATACTATGGCATTTTTTTTTTTTTTTTTTGGGGGGGTTGCTCATGGGATTGGTAGAAATGACTTGTCTTTTCTTTTCTCACTTTATTTCTTTCATTTATTGATTTTTTTGTCTTTCAATTTTGTTTAGAGTGAATTTCGTTCTATCTCATTTTTTACCCTCGATAAGGTAGATGATTATAAAGAATTATTAAAACAAATCCTTTTCGTTCATTTGAATTGTTTAGCTGAACGGATGTAACCGCCAAGATAGGAGAGTGAGGGTAACGCGCCTAAACGTTTTTTCATTCACCTCTTTGTTTCTTATAGTATTTCGGGTAGTTAGTTTTTTTCCACATTTCTTGATGTTGCTTTTAATGAAATACGAATTCGGTACTTTACATCGTCTGACGCACAGAACTTCCTTCCCTTAGAGCAAAATTTTCGTTGTCGTTCGGGTTACAAAAACGTTTAGAAAATGTGCGGAAATGAAGACGCTATTGAGTTGGTTTGTTTGTTTTTTATCTTAGAAAAAACAAAGATAGTCCATAACAAATATTATATTGTTATAGATATCATCAAAACTCTAAGGATATATACTATCTTTTCGTAATTGAAAACGTAAAATCCTAACCCCCCTCCCTTAGGCCCTTCCACCCCCCCCTCCTCCTCTCCCCCTCCGAAAAAAAAACGGAACGAAATTCAAAAATTCAAATTCAAAAAAGATATAACCGTCTCTTAAAAGCACCAACGTCTCACCGAGTTCGCAATAGAGGCCGTGACGGTGCGGGGGACAGATGCAAAGAGGATTTGGGCGGAGTACACTTGTCACGCACTGGCCGCTGTGACAAGGCGACCCCCCGGTACACTCTGCACGCTCGCACAGTTCGCCGTGGTACCTGGAAAGAGAAAGGTTAACGATTGGTAAATTGAGGATTGGTAAAAGAAAAAATAATAAGGGAATGGCCATTGGTAAATTGAGGACTGATTAAAGAAAATATGAGATTGGCGATTGGGAAAGAGAGGACATAAAATAAAATAAGGAAATGGCGATTGGTATAGAGGACTGGAAAAAAAGAAAAAATAAAGGAATGGCGATTGGTAAAAGAAAATATGGAATTGGCGATTGGTAAATTGAGGATTGGTAAAAGAAGAAAAATAAGGGAATGGCGAATGGTAAAGGGAGGACTGATAAAATAAAATAAAGGAATGATGATTGATAAATTGAGGATTGATTAAAGAAAATAAGGGAATAACAATTGGTAAATTGAGGACATAAAATAAAATAAGGAAATGGCGATTGGTATAGAGGATTGGAAAAAAAATAAAGGAATGGCGATTGGTAAATTAAATAAAATATGGAAATAAGCGATTGGTAAATTGAGGATTGATAAAAGAAAAAATAAAGGAATGACGATTGGTAAATTCAGGACTGATAAAATAAAAGAAATAAGGGAAAGACGATTGGTAAATTGAGGATTGGTAAAAGAAAAGAAAATAAGGAAATGGTGATTGGTAAAGAGAGGATTGGGGAAAATATAAAATCGCGAATTACTAAAAAAACAAAAAACAAAAAAACAATAGAGGATCAGTAAAAATTCAATAGAGGATTGGTAGAAAAAGTAAATAGATGAATGGCAAAAAAGAAATGTTGAATTAGAAGAAATCAAATACAAGGTTGAAATAAATTTAATCTTGGGTTGAAATAAATCAAATTAAATGGTGAAAGAAATTAAATAGAGTTATGGGAGAAAGAAGGAATGGAAGGGGATAAATAAATGAATGCCAGAAAAGGGAAATAGTGTAAATTAATTAAAGAAATGACAGAAACGGGGAATAACATAAATGGCGGACCGAAAGGAATTTGTTTAGAAGAATGGCATAAAGAGAAAGTCGAAATTAAATATAGGAATGGCGAAATAAGAATAAGAATAAGGAGAAATAAGCACAGAGTTAAAAAAAAACATGGAAACGGAACGTGAAAAAGGAATTCGGCACAACTAGATAGATATAACGAAAACACACACACATACACACACACACATACACACACACACACACACACACACACACACACACACACACACACACACACACACACACACACACACACACAATATATATATAATATATATATATATATATATATATATATATATATATATATATATATATGGAAAAAAACATGAGATCAAATACGATAACCACAATAAACAAAACATACAAAAGTAACTTCTGAGATATATACACTATTCACACACACACAACCCCCTCCTCATACCCCTCCCCTCCCTCCCCCATCTCCTCTACTCCCATACACCTCCCATCCCCCACATTCTACCCCCCATCCCCACGACCCCTGTTACCTCCCACCCCCCACTCCCAACACCCTAACCCATCCCCCGACCCGCATCCCTCTACCCTAGACCCCCCCAACCCTAACCCACCCCCCATCCTCCCCCCATCTCCTCTACCCCAGACACTCCCCACCCCCATCCCTTCTACCTACCCCCCCCACCTACCCCATCCACCCTCCTCCCCTCTACCTCCCACCCCCATCCCTTCTACTACCTCCCACACACCTCCCCACCCCCATCCTCCCTCCCCCTCTACCCCCACACACCTCCCCACCCTCTAACCCCACACACCTCCCCGCCCCATCCCACACCCCATCCTCCCCTCTACCCCCCCATCCCCCACCCCTAGAGCCTTACCCGGGGACAGTTGCAGGACCAGACAGCAGGACCCGGGACACAGGAGCCGCCGTTGAGACAGGACCCCGGAGGACACAGCGCCGTCCCACACTCCTGCACGCCCTCGCCGGCCACCCCCTGCACCCACGTGTCAATTTCACGCCCGTTGACCTGGGGAGAGAAGGGAGTGTGACGGTTTTGTTGTTGTAGGAACGGTGTTTTTTTTCAAGGATTCAGAAAAATGTTAGTTGTTGTGGGGAATACACAGACGTGACAATACACACACACACACACACACACACACACACACAGACACACATAACATACACACATACAAATACACACACACACATACACACATATAATCTCTATCGTAAATGTGGTTTATTGTATTGTCTTCTATTCTATGTGATTATAAATGCTTTTCTTAAAGAATATGAATATTTATCATAAAATATGTCCATAGCTTTATGTAATTCGATAATTTCAAGTGAATAGTTAACCCTTAAAGTATTAAATAGGACACAGACACACACAAACAAGAACCTTAATACTATCCAATAATTTCACACTCACTAGTTCAAACAAACATACAAATAAACACACAACGCAAAACCCAATCGAAACAAAGAAACAAACACACACTTAAACAAAATTCAAAGAAACAAACCTTTCTATCCATTAACCCGTTCATCCATATACACAAACAAACAAAGCCCAAGCACCCATCCAAACACAAACATCCTTCCTTATCCATCTATCCTTCTGAACAAACCAATGCAAACTCATCCATCCACACACAAACAAACAAACAAACACTCTAACCCCTTCATCCATCTATCCATCCATCCAAACAAGCAAACAACCCCTGAACTAACCCATAAAAACTCATCCATCCACACACAAACAAACACACTCTAACCCCCTCATCCATCTATCCATCCACACACAGACAAAACAAACAACCCTGAACAACCATACAAACCATCCATCCACACACAAACAAACAAACACACTCTAACCCCTTCATCCATCCATCCCAACAAGTAAACAACCCCTGAACAAATACAAACTCATCTATCCACATGCAAACAAACACACTCCAACCCTTCATCCATCTATCCATCCACACACAAACAAACAAACAACCCCTGAACAAATACAAACTCATCTATCCACACACAAACAAACAAACACACTCTAACCCCTTCATCCATCTATCCATCCACACACAAACAAACAAACACACTCTAACGCCTTCATCCATCCATCCACCATCCCCTCCCATCCCCTTCCATCCACTCCCCCCCCCCTCCCCTTTCCATCCACCCCCTCAACCCGCCGGGCATCAATCCCTCAGCGGGCAGGACACGCGCAGACGCGGCAGGAACCCCGCCTTGACCACCAGGGGGGAGGAGTAGGAGGACGGGAGCCCCCCCAGGTACACGTGACCTAGGCGGACCGAGGGAGTTGATGACCTCTGCTCGCTGTAGATGGGTGACGTGTCATTGACCTGGAATGCGAGGGTGCCAGTTAGTGCCAAGGGATAGGGTCGTCTTAAATGATTATTGGAAAATGAGGTTTTAATAATGATAATTGAGATTTTGAGGTTTTAATAATGATAATTGAGATTTGAGGTTTTAATAATAATTGAGATTTGAGGTTTAATAAATAATTGAGATTTGAGGTTTAATTAATACTGAGATTTGAGGTCTTAAATAATAATGAGATTTGAGATTTTAATAATAATAATTGAGATTTGAAGTTTTAATATTAATAATTAAAATTTGAGGTCTTAAACAATGACAATTGAGATTTGAAGTTTTAATAAATAATAATTGAAATTGAATTTTTAATAATAACAATTGAAATAATTTTAATAATAATTGATATTTAAGGTCTTAACAATGATAATGAGATTTGGGGTCTCTCTTAACAATAATTGAGACTAATAATTGAGATTTGAGACTTAAACATGATGGTAATAGTACCAAATCAGGTAATAGCGACTTTATGATGATGATAAAAAATAATAATAATAACAATAACATATTATAGAAAAATATATTCTTAATGAAATAATGAGATAGAAGATTCTTGAGAGAGTGAGTGAGAGAGAGAGAGAGAGAGAGAGAGAGAGAAGAGAGAGAGAGAGAGAGAGAGAGAGAGAGAGAGAGAGAGAAGAGAGAGAGAGAGACAGAGAGAGAGAGAGAGAGAGAGAGAGAGAGAGAGAGAGAGAGAGAGAGAGAGAGAGAGAGAGAGAGAGAGAGAGAGAGAGAGAGAGAGAGAGAGAGAAGAGTAGAGTGTGAAAGAAGAGAGAGAGAGAGAGAGAGAGAGAGAGAGAGAGAGAGAGAGAAGAGAGAGAAGAGAGAGAGAGAGAGAGAGAGAAGAGAGAGAGAGAAGAGAGAGAGACGAGAGAGAGAGAGAGAGAGAGAGAGACAGAGAGAAGAGAAAGAGAGAGAGAGAGAGAGAGAGAGAGAGAGAGAGAGAGAGAGAGAGAGAGAGAGAGAGAGAGAGAGAGAGAGAGAGAGAGAGAGAGAGAGAGAGAGAGAGAGAGAGAGAGAGAGAGAGAGAGAGAGAGAGAGAGAGAGAGAGAGAGAGAGAGAGAGAGAGAGAGAGAGAGATGAGAGAGAAGAGAGAGAAGAGAGAGATCGGGACACACACCAACGAAACGACAACCAAATGCCAAACAGCAAACAGATCACGCATGACAGAAGACCAGTGTCACGAGAGAAGACAGAGGGAGATGACACATGACAAAACCTCACCTGCAAAGACGCACTGCACTTGCCAGCACCCCAGGGGACGTCGGGCTCATATGGGGTCCACCACATCCTGGGGGATATTGCACCATCGGTTATCAAAGACGATTCGAATAATACATGGCGATGTGGTGTGTTTATCTATGTTGGGGGAGGGGGAGGGGGATGGGGTCCGGTGTTCAGGGGCGTGTGTGTGGGGTGGGGAGTGGGGGGCGTGTGTGGGGGGAGTGTGGGAGGGGGAGGGCGTGTGTGGGGGGGGGGGAGTGTGTGTGTGTGTGTGTGTGTGTGCTGTGTGTGTGTGTGTTGTGTGTGTGAGTGTGTGTGTGTGTGTGTTTGTGCTTTTGTAAACGATTCTGAATGCACCAGAAATACATAGACACAGAGAACATTAGCACACACAGACACGCACACACACACACACATATATAAACACACACGCGCGCGCACGCGCGTTCATTAAAAAAACTATTTCAACAAAACACACACACACAAGACAATAACCTCAAACCTCAAAAACACAAACACACACAACACACCAACACACACACACACACACACACACCCTCCCCCACACACCACACCCTCCACACACACACACACACACACACACACACACACACACACACACACACACACACACACACACACACACACCACACACGCACACAACCAAACCAAAACCCCACCCACACCTCCCCACACCCCCACCCCCACCACACAAAACCCAAACCCCCACCCACCTCACAGACACATCCGTGCGAAAGTTCCTGGCCAGCTTCTCGTTCCCCTGCAGGAAGGACACGGTCTGCAGGCCACACGAGAACACGAACTGCAGCAACGAGTTCCTCAGGAGCAGCATGAAGAAGGCGTCGCTGGGGCCCTCGCTGTAGGCCACCAAGCCGTTGGGACTCTGCGACGTGAACTGGACGTAAACCTGAAACGACGAGGAAGTGGTTAAAAAAAAAAGTCTTTATATCAAGGCACATAAAAAATGCCTTTATATCAAGGTGCATCAAAAAATGCCTTTATATCAAGGCACATAAAAAATGCCTTTATATCAAGGCACACCAAAAAAGGCTTTGTATCAAGGCAAATGGGTACGTCTGTGCTTTGATATGATGGTGTTGATATATGTTGATAATAATAATAACAATTATCATATCACAGTGAAAGAGAGAGAGAGAGAGAGAGAGGAGAGAGAGAGAGAGAGAGAGAGAGAGAGAGAGAGAGAGAGAGAGAGAGAGAGAGAGAGAGAGGAGAGAGAGAGGGAGGGAGGGAGGGAGGGAGGAGAGGGAGGGAGAGGGAGAGGGAGGGAGGGAGATGAGGAGAGAGAGAGGGTGAGAGAGAGAGAGAGGGAGAGAGGGAGAGAGAGAGAGAGAGAGGAGATCGAAAGATATAGAAAGACAGATATTATACTGTATATATATATATATATATATATATATATATATATATATATATATATACATATATATACATATATATATATATATATATATATATTATATATATATATATATATATATATATATATATATATGTATATATATATATATATATATATATATATATATATATATATATATATATATATATATATATATATATATATATATATATAGAGAGAGAGAGAGAGAGAGAGAGAGAGAGAGAGAGAGAGAGAGAGAGAGAGAGAGAGAGAGAGAGAGAGAGAGAGAGAGAGAGAGAGAGAGAGAGAGAGAGAGAGAGAGAGAGAGAGAGAGAGAGAGAGAGAGAGAGAGAGAGAGAGAGAGAGAGAGAGAGAGAGAGAGAGAGAGAGAGAGAGAGAGAGAAGAGAGAAGAGAGAGAAAAGAGAAAGAAAGAAAGAAAGAGAAAGAAAGAAAGAAAGAAAGAAAGAGAGAAACAGACAGACAGAGAGAGCAAGGAAAAAAAGAAGAAAAACAAACAGAAAACAACGAGAAACAAAACAGGAAAAGAAAATCAAGCAGAGAACAACGAGAAAATACAAAACAGGAAAAGAAAATCAAGAAAATCCAAGCACAAGCCACATGGAAACACCTGGCAACTCGGTACCTGGACGCCCTGCCTGAGAGAGAGGTTGCCGACGTCCACGCCCAGGTAGGAAGCGCCCACGAAATACGGTTTGTTGATGTAGAAGTAGAACTCACAGTAGGCGCCCTTGTAGTTGAAAGGACACTTGCACTGCGGTTGGGAAGTGTCACGGGAAAAGGGGGGGAAAATATGAGTATTATGTAGAGTATATTTGTAGAGACAGATTTATTAGATATGCTTAGAAGTACGTAAGTAAATGCAGATGTGTGTGTGTGTGTGTGTGTGTGTGTGTGTGTGTGTGTGTGTGTGTGTGTGTGTGTGTGTGTGTGTGTGTGTGTGTGTGTGTGTGTGTGTTGTGTTGTGTGTGTTGTGTTGTGTGTGTTGTGTGTGTGTGTGTTGTGTGTGTGTGTGTGTGCGTGTGCGTGTGTGTACATGTGCGAGTGCGTGTGTGTTTAATAAAAAAAAAAAATCATAGGAAACGTGCCCCTCACTTCCTCTCCCTCGCACACGTTCCCCTTATCTTACCGAATGCAACGCGTTTCCTCCCTTAGCCGGATCTCTCGTTATCTCTCTATCTCCACACCCATTTTCTCTAATCGTTCATCCCCCCGCTCAAAGACAACCACAGAAAACCAATACCTGCATCCCTACATTTTAAAGGGGAGACTCAATTAAAAAATGGATTTCTCCGATGACTACCAATTCCCGCATTAATAATATTTTTAAAGGGGAGACTCAATAAAAAAAAAATGGATCTTCAGCGATGACTAATATCCGTTAAGCTCCCGACAGATGTGAGTATTCTTATCATGCATGAATCTTACGGGAAGCAGATGGCAAGAGAAGGGGGGGGGGGAGGGAGGGGTTGTAACTGACATATTGGTTAAGGGGGGGAGGAAGGGGGACGGGATGGAGGGGAGGGGGCGCCTGCAAAGGATGGAACTCGATCCCCTGATCAATAAAGTATGAAAAAAAATAGTAAAGAGAGATAAGTTGATAGTTAGAAATTGCTGGTAAGTCCTTCTTTACTTATCCCTTTTGATAGCAATGACACTTCTATTTCTCTCTTTTTTAATGAATTGTAAAATGAATTGCGTGTGCGTGACAAGAAATGTATTTTGGGGTGAAGTTTTTGTTTTTGCTTTCGTTTTTCGTAATAAACTGGTTGGTGGTATTATACTATGTGTTGTGATGCGAGCAATGTTTTTGTTTAAGGTAAAGTTTCGTTAAGAAGATAAATATAAACCGGTTCTCTCGTGGGTTGTTTTGTTTATTTCTTGGTTTGTTTGTATCTATTAGTCAATGTTTTACTTTCATTTGAGTGTGTTTTTTGTCTCTTGTTCTTTTTTTAGTCTATATTAGTAGTGTCTGGGTATATTTATTACACTATCTATGTGTATGTGATTGTAAATGTATGAATTAGAATCCATAAATGGCCGCGAATCGTCAGCGAAACGCGCGAGACAAACGCGAAGACTTACGGAGGATTTTGCGTCGCGGGTGACGCAGGTCCCTCCGTTGAGGCAGAAGCCGTCCCCGCACTGTGCCGGGGGCGCCTGGTCACTCTGAGTCTCCGAGGTCGTTGCGGAGGTCACCAACTGCGGCGGCAGCGACCCCGTCGGCGGCGTCGTCGTGTCGAAGACGGGCTCCTTCTCGCTCGGGCTGCCCGTGTAGTCGGGGGTCTCCACGGGGACGTCGGTCTCGCGGGCGGTGGTGGGCGTGGGGGACACCGGGACCTTCGTTGTGGTCGCGGGCGCCGCCGGGAGGGGGGAAGAGAAGGTCGTCATCGTAAGAGAAACGTGCGTGGCTGAAGGCTGCAGGTCAGTCGTCGGCAGTATGGCTGTCCCGTCAGGAGTCTGAGTCGTGGAGGTCACGGCTGCGGCAGGGATTGGCGTCGTCGTCGTCGGCTCGTCAGCGGGGGTCGTGCTCGAGCCCAAGGAGGCGTTATAGAGCAGCTCGTCGTCGGGGATCGTCACATTCCTTGGCTCTACACTTGGTTCCGTCACAATGGTAAACTGGTCAACAAGACTGACTGTCGTGAGCGCCATGTCTGTAGGCTCGTCTGCCTTGGTCGTCGAGGGCAATGTGCTCGTCCCTGCGTCTGTCTTTGCGTCTGCGTCTGTCCCCAAGTCCTCGGGAGTTTCCGTCGTGGTGGCGAGGACTCCCACGGCAGAAGCTTGGGTGTACACGTGCTCCTCGGGAATCAACTCCAGCGTCACGGGAGTCTCTGAGGTGACGTCCACCGCCGCCTCTGTTGATGTCGTTGAGTCTTCGGTGGCAACAGGAGTGAGACTCGTCGTATCAACAGTAGCATATTCTGTTATGTCTGTGAGGGGCGTGGTTTGTGTTGGCTCAGTGTATTCTGTGGAGATTTCCGTCTGAGTTTCCGTAAACCTTACAATGTCTGTTGTTTGATGACTAATTAATGACACATCTGTTGTTTGTGCTTCGATGGTGACATCTGTTGTTTGTGTAGTCTCTGCTGTTATTGCAGTGTCAGTAACACCTACCGTTAATGTTGTATCTACAACATCGGTGCTCTCTGTTGTTAAATGGACAGTAGTTAAAGTTTCATCACTTGTTAATGTGGTTGTTTCTGTAGGTATACTTATTGTTGTTTCATCTACAACTGTTGTTGATGTCTCTCCGATATCTGTAGTTGGTGTGCGGGCAAAATCTGTCGTTGGTGTGCTGGTAAAATCTGTAGTTGGCGTCCTGTCAAAATCTGTAGTTGGCGTGCTGGCAAAATCTGTCGTTTGTGTGCTGGTAAAATCTGTTTGTGTGCTGGTAAAATCTATGGTTTGTGTGCTGACAAAATCTGTCGTTTGTATGATGGCAAAATCTGTCGTTGGTGGTGTTCCCATAAAGTCTGATGTTGGCATAGTGTCAGCATCATCTGTCGTTTGTGTAGTGTCAGCAAACCCTGTTGTCGGCATAGTATCAAGAGCGCTTGTTGTATCGTCAGCTGTTGCGGGTGTCGTAGGTACCTCTGTGAAATCAACGACGGGTGTTGTAATACTGACATCATATAAGTCTGTGGAAGTCACCTGATCTGTTGTTAACTGAGTAGTGTCGTAGAATGAGGATGTGGTATCGGTCTCGGAAATCGCATCTGTTGTGGAGAATATATCGGTGGTAGAATCGGCGGCGGAGGTCAAATTATCAAGGTCAGAAAGAGTCGACGTCACGAGAGCTGTCTCAGTCGAAGTCCCGTCAGTCGCATTCCCGCCCGAGTCCTCGTAGTCTGGCGCGGGCGTCGTCCTCACCACGGGCGTTCTCGTCACGTCTGTTGCGTCGGGGACTTGCGTGGTGGAGAGGTCAGTCTGGGTCACGAGGTCGGTCACAGGAGCCACAGTTTCGGTGACATTGAAGCTCTCCTCGGGGGTGTAGGGGGTGGTGAGGCTGGGGAGCTCGGAGCCCAAGACACTGTCTTCGGTAGTGAGGAAGGGCTCAGTTACATTATCTTGGTCTGTAAGATAATCGCTTACGTTGTCTGGAAGATCTGTGGTCTCAGGCACAGGAGTTGAAAGCCCCGCCGTGACGTCTTCGGCTGTGGAAGTTTCACTGGGAAGCGAGGGGGTGACTACTAGGTCAGTCCCTGGTGCAAAAGTTTCGTTCCCTGTGAAGTCGGGAACAAGCGACGCGTTGCCAAGATCAACAGAGGTTGGCGGGGAAGCAGTAGCATCTACCGGGACTGACGTTTCAGCTGTAGTATCTACCAGGACTGACGTAATATCTGTGGCATCTACCATTACTGACGTCACAGCTGTAGCATCTACTGGGACGAACGTTACATTATGTACATCTACCATGACTGACGTTACATCTGTAGCATCTACCGGGACTGGCGAGACGAGGAGTAGCGAGCTAGGGGTAGGAAGGAACTCGGGTGTGGGCTCTAGCGCTGCTACAGTGACCAACAAGGGCGACGTACTCACTTCGACCTCCGACACGACAGACAAGGAATGCAGATCGGGCGCGGCCGTCGAGAACGAGCTCTCCAGCACCAAGGTCGGACTCAAGGAAGTGACAGCGGTCGCGGTGGCGGCCTCGGAAGGCGCCGTGGAGACGTCCTCCGGGAAGAGAGAGGAAGGCAGATCTGGAAGCACTGGTGATGGCTGCGTGGACATCGATTCGCTCCATTCCATGGCAGTGGAAGGAAAGAGAGGCGTAAACAGTTCGCTGGAAGAGTAAGGCACACTGGCAGTTATTAGCTCGGTATACTCGAGGGATACTTTGGCACTTATCACAGAAGACACAGTTGGGAAGTCCTTGGGGTCCCGCAGCGTCGACCGCAGGACACTAGTCGCGGAATCGAAACTCGGACTCAACGTTTCACTGGAAAAGTCATAATCTACAGTTACGGTTGGATACAGGGGGGCCTCGTCCGTCGGGGAGGGGGGAGGGAGGGTGTCAATGACGCTGATTTCCGTCACGTTGGCGAAGTGCGTGGCGTTGAACCACTGGTGATAGACGTCTGTCTCCCCGGAACCCACTGGCTGGAAGGGCCGCCCGTCGAACCACGAAGGGAGCTCGGCGCACTCCTCGCCTGCGTCAGTCACGGCGCACTCGCACAGAGGACCCGACGCGGCGCTCGGGCAGCTGCAGAAGAAGCTGTCGATGCCGTCGATGCAGGAGCCGCCGTTCATGCACCTGGAGAGAGGCAGGTGTCACTCATGCCGCCCAGCAGTCCCTCTGATCAAGCATTTTTTTCATTAATTTTCTTTTTAATAATTTTGAAAAAAACGAAAGGAAAAAATGGTGCATTATTTCAATACTAAACCTCCTTCGCATTTCAAATAACAAAAAACCGTAGTACTTCACTTACCGAGAGTATTTTCTCGGGACAGCCGACATTCTACATCAATTACAGTGTGACCTACACATTACAGAAAATATTCGATCGCATCTGTACTTACTGGAACAGGGTGTCAAAGAAGGCTTATGTCTCAAAGGAATCTCAAAGGAACATTGCAAGACTGCAAGACGATTCGTAGTGCCTGATCAGCTGTTCAAGATACCCGGTCATTTTTGGTTTATCGCTTTCACTATTGATATTTTATCTTTTATCTCTGTCTACATCTCTCTAACTCGTCCGCGATTCTCTCTCTCTCTCTCTCTTTCTCTCTCCCTCTCTCTCTTTCTTTTTTCGTTCTCTCTCTCTCTTCTTTCTTTCGCTCTCTCCTCTCTCTTTCTCTGTCTTCTTCTCTCTCTCTCTCTCTCTCTCTCTCTCTCTCTCTCTCTCTCTCTCTCTCTCTCTATATATATATATATATATATATATATATATATATAGTATATATCCTCCTCTCTCCTCTTTTCCCCTTCCTCCCTTCTTCCCCTTCTTCTTCCTCCCTCCTCCTCTCCTCCTCCTCCTTCCCTCACACACACACACACACACACACACACACACACACACACACACACACACACACACACACACACACACACACACACACACACCACACACACACACACACACACACTCACTCGCTCAAACTCACTCACTCACTCACTCACTCACTCACTCACCCCCCCCCCCTCACCTTGGGGCATACGGGAGGCAGTCGTTATACTGATCTTGACACTGCGACCCGTGGAAATCCGGAACACAATAACAGGTGGCGTTGTTGTTCTCCATGACGCAGAGGGCGCCGTTCTCGCAGGGGTTGTCCTCGCAGAACACGACGGCGTCCTCGCAAAGCCTCCCCGTGTATCCTGTGGGCGGGAGGGACGTCGAAGGGGGGTTTAGAGGAGGTTGGCGGTGGCGGGGTTGGTAGGGGTGGGGGTGGTGGAGGGTTCTTGGGCGGGGTGGGGTGGGGTGGGGGGTTCTGGAAGGGTGTTGGAGGGAAGGGTTGGTAAGGTTCTTGGGGGGGGGGGTCTGGAAGGGTGTTGGAGGAAGGGTTCGGTAAGTTCTGGGGGTTCTGGAAGGGGTTGAGGGGGGATGAGATTCTGTTGGAGAGCTGTCGTGGTTGAGTTGGTGTTTAAAACTATGGGTTACAGATGGGTTCCTGGTGGGCTAAGGCACAAAGAAAAAAAAAGAAATAAATGATAAAAGTACATACATGCATAACACACACACACACACACACACACACACACTCAAACACACACACACACACACACACACACACACACACACACACACACACACACACACACACACACACACACACACACACACACACACACACACAAACACACACACACACACACACACACACACACACACTCAAACACACACACACGCACACACACTTGTTTTTGACCCTGTAAAATCGTCAAAGACTCAGCTGAACTGCACAACCATCTTGCACAGTCCGATTTGCGCAGTGCAGGCCGTGCATGTATGGGACCAGTTTACATAGCTGCTCAAGCCACGCCCGAAGCCAGCCTTAATTCAGTCCCTTCCCGGAAATGCTTGCCCAAAGCCAGGTTCGAGCAAGTCTAGTTTGAGCGCGTATGGGCAAGCATCACGTGAACCGTATCCATGTTGACAAATGTAAAAAAGGTATGAATGAGAACGAATATCTTCACAATACAAGAGATGTATTTAACCGGTTTCGATTATATCTTCGTCAGAAATACATGAAATTTCTGACGAAGATATAATCGAAACCGGTTAAATACATCTCTTGTATTGTGAAGATATTCGTTCTCATTCGTACCTTTCCACAAGCGAAGGCGATGACGTTAACATCTGCGAGACATATAAAACAGCGCGCGACTTTATCGAACTGTATCAATTACATCCTTGGTTATGGAGAGATAAGAGTAAAATTAATCCGATAGATAACTACTACTACTACTATACTACTACTACCACCACTATTACTACTACTACTGCTATTTCTTCTACTACCTCTGCTACTACTACTACGACAACTACTACTACTACTACCTCCACTATTACTACTACTACTGCTATTTCTTCTATTACCTCTACTGCTACTACTACTACTACCACCACCACCACTATTACTACTTCTACTACTACTATTTCTTCTTACTAACTACAACACCAACAACTACTACTACTACATCATAACTGAGCAAATCCGAACAGTGGTATTACATTTTTTATTTTATACAATTTAATACAATTTTTTCAAGCATTACATCCAGATTTAATTTACACAGACAACAGTACGGCTCAATGGTAAGGTTGTCAGTTTCAGCAACAAATTCCAGAAGTGTATTAATTAATCTTAATTAATTGGAATAAAAACCTACTCTAAATGCAGTGTGCAACAGGTATCTGGAAAGGCCAGAAAGAGGCTATGAAAATATATAATAATTTGGTTGGTTTGATTATGGTAATTAGAGGTCATTTTCGTAAACTCGGTTAGTAGATTCTCGCTGTCGCTGTCCTTTCAGTATCTGGACGTTTCTTATCGCTTCCTTTGCAATCTCTCTTTTTTTTCTTTGTCTTTCTTTTTTTTTCCTTTCTTTCTTCTTTTTTTCTCTTCTCACTTTCGTTTTCTCTCTCTCTCTCTCTTCTCTCTCTCTCTCTCTCTCTCTCTCTCTCTCTCTCTCTCTCTCTCTCTCTCTCTCTCTCTCTCTCTCTCTCTTACACCTCATTTTGCTCTCTCCCTTTCTTTTTATGGCTTCTTTTCTTCCTTCCCAATTCCATGAAATAATCATACAGGAACAGGAGCTAACACAGGGGAACAGCGGGAAATGAGAAAAAGACAGAGGGAAGAGAGAGAGAGAGAGAGAGAGAGGAGAGAGAGAGAGAGAGAGAGAGAAGAGAGAGAGAGAGAGAGAGAGAGAGAGAGAGAGAGAGAGAGAGAGAGAGAAGAGAGAGAGAAGAGAGAGAGGATAGAGGAAAGCAGAGAGAGAAAAGAAAGAAAAAAAAAAGAAGAAAAAAGAGAGAAAAACAGAGAAGAAAAGAAAAAAAAAAAATAAAAAAAAAACCGTCGACTTTTGACTTACCGAACTGACAGGCGCAGGCAAAAGCTCCGGAGTGTTGAGACAGACCGCGTCATGTAAGCAGGGCGTGGCCAGGCACTCGTCCACATCAGCTTCGCATGCCCGGCCGCTCCACCCTGCACGCACGCACGCACGCACGCACGCACGCACAAACATCCGACGTGGGGGAAGGGGGGGGGGAGGGGAGAGAGCGTTAGTTGGAGATGTCGTAGTGGGAAGAAAAAGGACATTAACTTAAACTTACACTGCCGTAGTGGGAAAAAAAGGACATTAACGTAAACTTAAACTGCAGTAGAGGAAATTAACTTAAACTGCTGTAGAGGGAAAAAAGGACATAAATTTAATCCTAAACTGCCGTAGTGGGAAAAAAGGACTTAACCTTAAACTTAAACTGCCGTTGAGGGAAAAAAGGACATTACCTTAAACTTACACTGCCGTAAAGGGAAAAAAAGGACATTAACTTAACCTTAAACTGCCGTATACGGGAAAAAAGGACAACTGAAACTTAAACTGACGTACAGGGAAAAAATAGGAAATTAACTTAAAACTGCCGTAGAGGGGAAAAAAGGACATTAAGGAAAAGTTAACTTAAACTTGCCGTAGACAACTTAAAAACTGCCGTAGAGGGAAACAATAGGAAATGCCGTAGAAGGAAAAGGACGTTAACTTAAACTTAAAATGTCGTGAAGGGAAAAAAGAGGATTAGCTCAAAGGCATAAACTTCCAGTGTGTTAGTAGATTATGTAGGAAACAAATGCAGAATGTCTATTTATTTTATATTATCATCATTATTTGTATTTACATATTTATTAAATTCTGTATTTACCATTTATTGTACACGAGGAAAAGAATGGAATAAACAAAAAATCCAATCAATAGTGAGAAAAATTAAGAAAAAGTGAATAAAAAAACGTTTGCAAACTAAATAAAAAATAAAAAATAAAATAAAAATAAAATCCAAAAATTAAATAAAAATATGGTTAAATAAAAAAGGGGGCTGGGCAAATTTGAAGACTTTAAATCTAAAAAATGAGTTTAAAAACACGGCAAAAGAACGGAAGAGACACAAAAACTCTAATAAAATTAAATAAATATAAAACAAATGAAAGACAAACAAACAAACAAACAAACGAGACAGACCTAAAAACAACAACTAAAACCTAAAACAGAAATAACCCTACTTTACCCCTTTAAAAAAGATAAGAAAAAAAGGAAAAATAACATATATGTGTGTGTATATATATATATTTTATCATTATATGAAATAAACAATTAAACAAATGATCAAACAAACAAGATAAAAACGAAGAAGAAAGAAAAATAAACATAAAAAAAAAAAATGAAACAAATTAACAAACAAGATAAAAAGAAAATAAACAAAAAAAAACATAAAAATCAACAAAATGAAAAAATGAAACAAAACAAAAAGATAAAAAAAAAAAAAAATAAAAAATAAACATAAAAATTAACAAAAAAAAAAAAAAAAAAAAAAAAAAAAAAAAACGAAAAAGGGAGAATTTGAACAACGTTTTCTCCCTCGTTCGGGGCCCCGGATGTCACTTCCGCTCCAGCCGGCCCAGGGAGAGTGGAAAAGGTCGACATCGTAAAGGTCAGCCGACGAGTCTCCGTAAGGCTTCACAACCCTTTTCATAACCAGTTTCATAACCTTGTTCGTCGGCTTGTCAATCGTCTTCGTTGACATATTTTCTAAACGTGGTGATAACCTTGGAAAAAGTTATTATGGTTCTCGTAACTGATATCAGATATAATTATTTTCATATATATATTTCATGTTTTAACAACTGTTCTTGTATAACCGTCTCCAGGCCGTTCTTCATAACTGTTTTTATTTCCGTTTTTCACAAGCACCTTCGTAACCGTCTTCATAAACGTTTTCGTATTTGATTTTAAAATCGTCCTCATAACCGTCACCAGACCACTCTCATAACCGTTTATATTCAAATTTTCAAATCCACCTTTATAACCGTCCTCACTAGCACTCATAACCGTCTCCAGACCGCTCTCATAACCGTTACTATTCAAATTTTCATATCCACTCTTGTAACCGTCCTCATAACCGTCTCCTCAACCGACCTTCTCACTTCTCCGAACTAAACCCGTGTTCACTTTACGATAAGTGTGATTTGTATACAAAAAATATAAAAAAAAAAAGAAAGAAATTATTTGTAAAAAAAGAAAAGGAAAGAAAGAAGAAAAAAAAATAGTGGAAAGAAATGTCAAACGACCAATGCCCAAAACAGATAAAACAGTAAGGCAGTGTTCGTAGAAATAGTAGTAGTAGTAGAAGTAGTAGTAGCGTTGGTAACAGTGCTAGTACTGGTAGTAGTAGTAGTCGTAATAGTGGTAGTACTAGCAGTAGAAATGATATAGCTGTTGTTATTGTTATTATTGTTTTGTAAATTGTGAATAGCTACGGTTTGTGTGTGTATGTATGTGTGCTTCCCCATTTGTGTGAATAACTTATTCTGGAAGAAGGGATACGCACTACCAAAAAAAAAAAAAATAATAAAAATAAAAAATAAGAATAATATTAATAATAATAATAAATAGATAAATAAATAATGAATAAATAACAACTCATGAACACTGAACAAAAACAAACTCAACTCCTATCATAACAGGTGTTCACGCACGCACCCGGAGCGAAAGGACACATCGATCGGGAACAACAGAAGACCTGAGTATCTTCAACGAAATCTTTTTTCTTTTTTTTTTCCTTTTCTTATCTATTGTCCAGATCGACCCTCCGTGACTCTGCACTTTTTCAAGCCTCGACGCAACAGCTCTTGTGTTCTTGAGAAAAGGAAAAAAAAAAAAATGGCGGGAAATATATCGCCTCCCTGAATCGCTGTTTGAATTTGTTGGTTTGGGATTAGGTTAAATACACACACACACACACACACACACACACACACACACACACACACACACACACACACACACACCACACACACACACACACACACACACACACACACACACACACACACACACACCACACACACACACACACATATATATATATATATATATATATATATATATATATATTTCTTTTCCGTTAGAATATACATTTAAGTACGGAATATCCTCCATCAAATATTGTCTGCAAGTGCAAATGCATAAGCACACTGTCTTATGCATATATTTTTTTTTTTGTCTCGAAAAAATACGAGACCAAAAAACAAAAAACAAAAAAACGGAAGAATAAAAACAAACAAAACAAAAAAAAAGAAAAAGAAAAAGAAATAAAAATAAAAAGAAAGTTGATAAAGAACATTCAAAACAAAAGGAATAACCAAATGGAGGAAGGACATTTAAGATAATAAATATGGTGGGGTGAAAAAATACGAGAAAATAAATAGAGAAATGGAATCAGGGTAGAAGGCGAAAGGGGGAAAGGAAATAAATAGAATAAAGAAGATTCAAGAGAGTAGGCGTAGAAAGGAATAATAAAGCAAGGAAACGCAAAAAAAAAAAAAAAAAAAAATGAAGAATGAAAAACAAAGAAACAGAAAAATGCAAACACGAATGAAAGAATAAAAAGAAAACCGAATAAACGAGAAAAGAGGAGACAACATAATAATATAGATTAAAGGAAGAATGGAAGATATGGAAGAAAGCACGAACAGAAAATAGAAGCATAGAAAGGAAAATAAAGCGAGGAGGTAAACTCACAATAAAAAAGATATTTGGACGTGAAAACAAAAGGGAAGAGAGGGAGAGGAGGAGAAGGGAGGGAGGGTAGGAGAAGGAAGGGAGACTAGGAGGAGAGAGGAGAGAAGAAGGGAGGGAGAGTAGGAGGAGGAGGGAGGGCAGGAGAAGGAGCGAGAGCAGAGGGAGGAAGGAGGGAGAGTTGGGAGAAGGAGGAGGAGTAGAGAGGGTAGGAGGAGGAGGAGAGAGGGAAAGTAGAAGGGAAGAGAAGGAGGAGAGAGGGTAGGAGGGGAGGAGGAGGAGGAAGAGAGAGGAAGAGGAGAAGGAGGAGGAGGAGGGTAGGAGGAAAAGGAGGAGGAGAGAGGGAGGAGGAGGAGGAGAGGGCGGGAGGGAGGGAGTGGAAAGAAGAGAGACGTGGCTTAGCGAAGGACGGGCTGGGGGAGGAGGTAGGAGAAGGGGAGGCGAAGAAGGGAGGGGAAGGGACAGTCTCTGAACAAAAGAAGTAGACGACATAGCGTGCGCAGGTAACCCCTCCCTTGCCTATTAATGTTACAGGCAATTGTCTTTCCTCTCTGACTACGTTCTGCTTGCTTGTCGTGTGCTTGCAGCGCCACGAACTAAGGGAAAGGTTAAGGATGTAACGAATTTTGGGGGATTTTAATGAGTTACTTGGTACCTTATGCTATATATATATAATTTAATTTGAATTCGATGTTACGATGAAGATTAGAGAAATCGTGCATGTTTTCTTTTTTTTTTTTTTTTTTTTTTTTAGTTTGTAATTGATTTTTGTGTGTGTAGGAGGAGGGAGAAGGTAAATAAAAAGGGCGCATGAATGTAAACGTGATTGCGGCCTGCTGGTATGCTAAGAAAGATTCATCACGTGACACATGACACGAACTGACATAAGTCATAGACAAGGTCCCATGACAGAGTCGGTGGCGCTAGCGAGATGGTTCGAGACGAAGGCTTTGCAGAGACTGGCAAAAAGAAATTACGTTCTACTGTGTCGTTGCAGCACTGCTCTTTGGCATACCTAACACAGGCATGCAGCAAGAATTAGCATTGCAGCGGTGTCGCATAACAGCATAATCACTGTCAGCTCTGACGCCATAACTCAGCGCTTACCAGTCCAAATACTCTTGATCACGTGACCGCTCCGCACGATGGCGAAAATTCAAACTGACGACGGTTTGTTTTCCTTTTTTTTATTCGTCTTTTTTTCTAACCGCAGAGCAACAAAGCATTAATAAAGATTTTTGAGGATCGAGACAGAGGATCCCAGAGCTTACTTGCGCCCGACAACCCCCCCCCGTAATAAAGATGAGTTGGCGTGCGGTGCCTAGTGATTAACCCCCTCCCTCCCAAATACCGACCGCCAACGACCGTCATCGTACATCTGGAAGTCGAAAGAAAACATCGTAAGGCTCTCGGATAAATATCGGATTATTTATCCTATCTATCGTCACCGTACGTCACCGGATTTGATCTTAATAGGAGTCGTATCTATGCGATATTCCGATTTCATGATGATGCATGAGATGCCAGATACCGCCATTATTCGAATAATCCTTGATGTGCATAGACAATGTCCCACTGATATAGTTGGAGATATGCGAATTATGTTTAGTATTTAAGTCTATAACAAATATTTCCACTCGAATGAAAAAATCACTATCGTGTTGATACTATGGTAGAAAACCCCGCAATGCACAAACTAGATTTACTGAAGTACTTCAATAAATCTAGTTTGTGCATTGTGTTTTTCTGCCAATTCTACTCTTGTATTTTAGTCAAACATTCAATCCCAATATTCATAGAAACTCTAAATATAAGCTTAAAATCGTAACTGATTCTACCATCGTCAAATAAACAGAATTTATACACCTCTCCCTCTCCCTCTCCCTCTCTCTTTCTGTCTCTCTCGCTCTCTCCCTCTCTCTCACACACGCATTATTATTTTTTCTCTTCCATTTATCCTCCAACCACTCTCCCAAGGGCTGTCCGCGCCTTGCAAGACGTCCGTAATTTCTTTTTGCAATTTAGGGAGAGTCCGCGGGGTACCTTCGCCCGGTCCGCACGCGATCGTCTTCGTACACAGATTTTTCGTTTTATTTTTTTAACTTCTTCTCTAATCGATGCGGAGCCACTGGTCTAATTAGGTCTGGTCTGGAACCCCCTTTTTTCCATGGGGACTAATAGACCTCTTTACCTCCCCCGGTGTGCTTAAAAAGACCGCTTGTTTTGGAAGATTTAAGGTTAAATGGTCTTTAAGGTTAAATGGCCTTTGTAGAGTACCTAACCTCCTTGTTTGGAAGGGAGAACAACGTGCTATTTATAAACCCTTCGCTATCAACCATGACAGATTTTGGATAATAAACTGTTTTTTCTTTTTTCTTCTTCCTCATCTTCTTCTTCTTCTTCTTCTTTTTCTTTTCCTTTTTCTTTTTCTTCTTCTTCTTCTTCTTCTTCTCCTTCTCTTCTTTATCTTCTTCTACTTCCTTCTTCTTTCTCCTCCTTCTCTTCTCCTTCTTCTTCTTCCTTCTCATCATCATCTTCTTCTTCCTCTTCCTCTTCATCATCTTCTTCTTCTTTCTTCTCTCATTTCACCGGTGAAATTGGCTTTTCCTTTTTTAGTGTCTTGGACCGCACGAGTTTCATGATTTCTTTGCATGATGTCCTAACGTCTTGCTAACTTGTTGCGGTCTTGTGTGTGTGTTTGTTTGTTGTGTGGGCGGGCGTGGGCGTAGAGGGTTACGTCTTTGTTTTGGTTTGTGTGTGTATATCAGTTTATGTTGTCTGTTGTGTTGTGTGTTTATCTGTTTATGTTGTCTGTGTGTGTGTGTATATCTGTTTATGTTGTCTGTTGTGTAGGTGTATATCTGTTTATGTTGTCTGTTGTGTGTGTGTATATCTGTTTATGTTGTCTGTTGTGTGTGTGTGTTTATCTGTTTATGTTGTCTGTTGTGTGGTGTATATATATCTGTTTATGTTGTCTGTGTGTGTGTTTATCTGTTTTTATGTGTCTTTTGTGTGTGTGTGTTATCTGTTTATGTTGTCTGTATTTTCATGTTATATATGTTTCTTTTTTATTTTATTTTGATAAGTTTTTATGCTTATCTTGTCTGTATTTGTGTTTGTAATCTGTGTGTGTTTGTGTCTTTGTTTGCATCCACATTTATATCTGTAAATTGTGTGTTAAATCATACGTATGCATTTTCTTATGTCTTTATACCTGTCCCTATAATTTCGTGTATTCTTATGTATATCCACGCCCTTATACTTCACATAACCACCCCCCTCAATCTCCACATACCTCACCCACATAGCTCTGCTTCATTTTCTGACCTTCCCTTCCTAAGCTTCAGCTAGCTTATTCCACTGTCTCCATTCTTTCCTATCCTGCACACACACACACACATAGCCCCTCAAATCTCCACATATTTCACGACATAGCCCACAATCTTCACATACCTTACCCACATACCCTCGAAATCCCCACAGCCCCCAATCTCCACTTACTCATCAACATAACCCCAATTTCCACATAACTCACCACATAGCCCCCAATTCCCTCGTACCACCCATTCTCCGCAAACCCCAATCACCACATACCCACCAATCTCAACATACCCCCCACATACCCACCAATCCCCCACATACCCCCACCAATCCCCCACATATCCCCCTTCCAATCCCCACATACCCCACAACCTCCACCTACCCCCCCCGACCAACCTCCACATACCCCCCCTCCCCCGACATACCCCCCCCCCCAATCTCCACATACCTGAGGGGCAGTCGCAGGTGTAGGTGAGGGCGGGGCCGTCCACACACACGCCCCCGTGGAGACACCTGGGGCCGTCGCCGATAGACAAGTCCGTGGCGTTGCAGACACTCACATCTATTTCGCAATTGACACCTGAGGAGAGCAAGAATAGGGGGGGGTGAAGAATAAGGATAGGATAGGATGGTGATGAATAGGGGATAGGGGATGGAAATATTAATGATATAGGAATGAGATGATGGAGAGCAAGAATAGGAGGTGGCGGTGAAGAATAAGGATGGGGGGGGGTGATGAATGAATAGGGATAGGGGGATGGAGAATATTAATGATATAGGAATGAGATGATGGAGAGCAAGAATAGGGAGGGGTGAAGAATAAGGATAGGGGATGGTGATGAATAGGGATAGGGGGATGGAGAATATTAATTTATATAGGAATGGGATGATGGAGAGCAAGAATAGGAGGGGGGTGAAGAATAGGGATAGGGATGGTGAAGAATAAGGATAGGGGATGGTGAAGAATAGGGATAGGGGGATGGAGAATTATTAATGATATAGGAATGAGATGATGGAGAGCAAGAATAGGGGGGTGAAGAATAAGGATAGGATGGTGAAGAATAGGGAGGGGGATGGAGAATATTAATGATATGGAATGAAGATGATGGAGAGCAAGAATAAGGGGTGAAGAATAAGGATAGGGGGATGGGGAATAAGGATAGGGGGATGAAGAATAGGAATGGGATGATGAAGAATAAGGATAGGATGAATACTAAGAATAATATGAAAAAACAAGAATGAGATGATGGAGAATAAGAATAATATGATGAAGAATAAGAAAAATATAAAGAATAAGAATGAGATGATGAAGAATAAGAAAGGATAAGGAAGAATTAGAATAGGATGGATAACACAAGAATAGGATGAAGACAATAAATAATTGATGAAGAACAAGAAAAAGATGATGAAACACAAGAAAAAACATGATGAAGAACAAGAATAATAATAACAAGAAAAAAGATGATGAAGAGTAAGAATAGGATGATGAAGAACAAGAAAAAATGATGAAGAATAAGAAGAGACGGAGAATAATAATAATATGATTTATAAATCATATACATTAACCTTATATTCTTTACTCATTTTTCCCTCATCTTTAATCCAGTTTTAAAAAATCTTTTACTCATATCCTTTCATCTTCTCATTTTCTCTTATCTTTTGCTCGTTTTCTTTCATTTCTACTCATTTATCATTTTCCTCTCATCTTTTACTCATTTTCTATTATCTCTTCCTCCTTTCCTCTCACATTTTAATCATTTCTTTCATTTTCCACTCATCTCTTCCTCATTTTCTCCCATTTCCCATTCATTTCATTTTCTGTCATCTTTCTCTCACCTCTTCCTCATTTTCTCTCACTTTCCACTCATCTCTTCCTCATTTTCCACTCATCTCTTCCTCAATTCTTTCCTCTCATTTTCCACCCATCTTTTCCTCATTTTCTCACCATTTCCCACTCACCTTTTCATTTCCTCATATCTTCTCTCACCTCTTCCTCATTTCCCACTCATCTCTCCCTCATTTCCTCTCATTTTTTCACTTACATCTTCCTCATTTCCTCTTATCTCTCCCTCATTTCCTCTCATTTTTCACTTATCTCTTCCTCATTTCCTCTCATTTTTTCACTTATACCTTCCTCATTTCCTCTCACCTTGCACTCATCATTTCCTCCCTTTCATCTCTTCCTCATTTTCCCTCATTTGTCCCTCATCTTACCTGAATAGCCGACCGGACACGTGCACACGTAGTGGTCCAAGAGGTCGATGCAAGTGCCATTATTTTGGCACGGGTTACTCTGGCACTCGTTGATTTCACTCTCGCAAAACTCCCCTGGAAGATGTGATAGAGCAGATAAAATATAAATCTATGAAAGATATATTGATAAAATCAGATAATAATAATAATTAAATAATCTATGAAAGATATATTGATAAAATATATTGATAATAATAATAATTAAATAATAATAATAATAATAATGATAAAAGAGACTAAAGATAAATAAAGGAAAGGAAAAAGATGGGAAAATGCAATACGTAGATGAAGTGTTAAGTGAGTCGGAAAATTATATAAAATAATAATAATAATAATAATAATAATAATAACATAAGATAATAAATAAATAAACAATAAATAATAATAAAATTGTAATTGAGTGAGCCCCCCCCAAAAAAAGATAAATAAATAAAATAAAATAAAACAAATAAATGGAAAGAGAACGGAAAAATAGAATAAGTAGAAAAAAAAAAACAGAAAAGAAAGGGGAAAAATTAAATACGTAGATCCATTTTCAAATGAAAAGCCGAGAGAAAAAAAAAGATAGAAATGACTAAACTTTGCAAACTGAGTCAGAAGTTTATCTAATTCTTAGAAAAAAAGACGAAAAGAAAGAAAGAAAGAGATAAAAAACCTGGATAATTGTTTTTCAAATTGAGTTGTCAGTTGACTTCACTAAAAAAAAAGTAGATAATGTGATAATGTCAGATGATATCAATATTAAAATGGAAAAAAAATGCGTGAATAAAATTTGCAGAGTCGGCTGTTAATCTCATATTCAGAAAAAGGGGAAAAAACTAAAAACTAAAATAATAATAATAATAATAATAATAATAATAATAATAATAATAATAATAATAATAATAATAAAAATTGCAAACTGGGACAACTGTTGACATCCCCCACACGAAAATCCCCAATAAACGTGAACAAAAAAGGAAAAAACGAAGTCAAAAAAGAGAGGAACAAACCACACCCAAAACTTACCCGTATAACCCGACGGACACAAACAGCTGAGTGCCGCTACCTGGTCGACGCACGTGGCACCATTCTGGCACGGGGCGGACCAGCACTCGTCCCAGTCCGTTTGGCACTGTAGCCCCGTGTAGCCGTCGGTGCAGAAACACGAGTACGAGCTGCGGTCATGGGCACTTGTTATGCGTAAGGCCGTGTGGTGTTTGTGGGGGGGGAGGGGTGTGTGGAGTGTGGGGTGGGTGGGGAGTGGAGGAGTGGGTGGGGGGGGTGGGTGGGATGGAGTAATTGCGGGGGGTGGAGTGGAGGGGGTGGGGTGGAGTAATTTTGGGGTAGGTTGGAATGGAGGGAGGGGTGGAGTAATTGTGGGGGTGGAGTGGAGTGGAGCGGAGGTGGGGGTAGAGAATTTTGGGGTGGGTGGGTAATTGTGGGATGGGTGGAGTGGAGGGGTGAGGTGGAGTAATTGCGGGGCGGGGTGGAAGGGGTGGATAAATTGTAGGGGTGGGATGGAGTGGAGTGGAGAGGGTGGTGGATGGAAGGTGAAGGGGTGGAGTAATTGGGTTTCTGTGTGTGGAAGGGGTTGTGTATGCGTGTTTATGTCTATGTCTGTGTGTGTGACAATAAACATGCACATACAATATACAAACAAACTACAATCTACTAAAAACTCCATAAAATACATCATTATTCACAAACCCACAATCCAAAAATATAACACAGAGAGACAGAGACAGAGACAGAGAGAGAGAGAGAGAGAGAGAGAGAGAGAGAGAGAGAGAGAGAGAGAGAGAGAGAGAGAGAGGAGAGAGAGAGAGAGAGAGAGAGAGAGAGAGAGAGAAGAGAGAGAGAGGAGAGAGAGAGAGAGAGAGAAGAGAGAGAGAGAGAGAGAGAGAGAGAGAGAGAGAGAGAGAGAGAGAGAGAGAGAGAGAGAGAGAGGAGAGAGAGAGAGAGAGAGAGAGAGAGAGAGAGAGGAGAAGAGAGAGAGAGAGAGAGAGAGAGAAGAAGAGCAGAGGGAGAGGGAGAAGAGAGAGAGAGAGAGAGAAGAAAGAGAAGAAAGAGAAATGGGAGAGATCGAGAGAGAGAAAAGGAGAGAACCAACGCAAAGAGAGAAAATAAACCACAAAAAGAAAAAACAAACAAACACACCACCAGCCAAAAAAAAAAAAAAAAGAAAAACCAAACCCACCTGTTCAGATGGTCGACGCAGATCCCATGGACGCAGGGACGACTCACGCAGGAGAACCCGCCGCTGACCTCTGACACGACCACAGCCGCGATGACCACCGACAGCGTGACGAGCGAGGTCAAACCAAAGGTCGTCCTCCGCTCCTCGATATGTGTCGTTTGTGCCCATCATCTGCGGCGGAGGGGATGAGAGGGAATGAGAAGGGAGGAGTGAGAGGAAGAGAAGGAGAGAAGGAGAGAGGAGGAAGGAGGAAGTAGAGAATGAGAGAGAGAGGGGGGGAATGAGAGAGAGAGGGAAAGAGAGAGGGAATGAGAGAGAGAGGAGAGGGAGAGGAGGGGAGGGAGGGAGGGAGGAGGGAGTGAGGAGAGAGAGGAGAGAGAGAGAGAGAGAGAGAGAGAGAGAGAGAGAGAGAGAAGAGAGAGAGAGAGAAGAGAGAGAGAGAGAGAGAGAGAGAGAGAGAGAGAGAGAGAGAGAGAGAGAGAGAGGAAGAGAGAGAGAGAAAGACAGCAGAAAAGACAGAAGACAGACAAACAGAGAAACAAACAAAGACAGACAGACAAACAGACATTCTTAACATGTGATATCTCGTTTCGGCAACATCCTTTGTTATGAAAAAAAAAAATCCCTCAGTGCAATTTCTTTCCTAATTTTTCAGTTATTTGACTTTACCACTTCACAAACTCTGTACAAACAGTTAGTTTTTATTTCTGATTCTTTTCTCTATCTTTTTTTAATTTTAGCATCGGATTTGACCTTTTCATTTTACAGATAGATATAAAGAGATACAGAAAGAGATATAGTCAGATATAACGGCGTTTGTTTTATCATTGTTGTTATTTACGCTTGGGATAATGTAATATTCAATTATTAAAGAGTTCATCATTAGCATACATACAGTTGAATCCAAATCATATGTGTTTTGTCAACTACACACATATATCTGTATATTATGAATTCACATTCACATTCACACACACACATACATACACACATTCACACACACACACACACACGACACACAGGATACACCACACGCACAACACACCAACACAACACACATACACATCGATAATATATA